AAATACTTTTACCTTCTGAAATATTCTCATTCTCTAAATTACTTCTGATTTAATCTTACTTTCTACTCTATTTGTTCCTTTTAACCCAATTGATTGCCTGTGAATTTTAGGATATCTACTACCTACTGTTTGTAAAATCCTCAAGTGCTTTATGAAGAACATTTCGAGTAAGTAATTTTAAAAACAGATCACCATCATCATCAAAAACACAGCAAATTAGCCAGGTGCTATAGCTCACACCTATAATCTTTGCTACTCAGGAGGCTGGATCTGAGGATCATGGTTCAAAGCCAGCCCAGATAGGAAAGTTTGTGAGACTCTCATCTCCAATTAATCACAAAACAAAACAAAGAAAGAAACCCCAAACAAACCTGGAAATGAAATTGTGGTTTAAGTTATAGAGCACTAGCCTTGAGCAAAAAAGCTTAGGAATAATGCCCAGGCCCTGGGTTCAAGCCCTAGGAGCAGTGCGCGCATATACACACATACACCATAGCAAATGTATTGAACATTGCTATGAATGAGGAGCTATTGTAAGTATGGAGCATATATTATTTACCTAAATATGAAATAAGTACTTTTATCATTTCAGTTTTACAGATGAGAAAACTGAGTTGCACAAAAAGTTGAATAATTTTTCTAATGCACAAAAAAGTATTAAAGACAAGGGTTTTTTTTGTGGGTTTTTGTTGTTGTTGTTGTTAGTTATGGGGCTTAAACTCTGGGCCTGGGTGCTGTTCCTTGGCTCTTCAGCTCAAGGCTAGCACTCTACCACTTGAGCCACAGCGCCACTTCCGGTTTTCTGATGGTTTATTGGAGATAAGAATTTCACGGACTTTCCCGCCTGGGCTGGCTTTGAACCCCAATCCTCACATCTCAGCCTCCTGAGTAGCTAAGATTACAGGCATTTGCCACCAGTATCAGGCAAGACAAGGTATTTTAAGATACCTCAAACCTAAGTATTCTGAATTATGTGAATTACACTAAAAAATAACATTTAAGTTATTAAAGAAATTTAGACCTTCAGATTTTACAAACTGAGCTTCATTAACATTCTTCAACCCTGAAGGAGAAACCTACCTTTTATCTATACAACCATGCAAGATTACTATATCAAGACCGAAAAGGGAGACAGTGGAAGTCCAAACAATAGATAAACCCCCCAAAATAATTGGTTTTGATCTTGGAACACTATTAAAGTTATTAATGCATTCACTCACTAATTCACTCAGCCTTTAGGGAGTATCTATCATATGACAGGCAAGTTGTGGAAGCTAAGAAGAGAGACAAGGTGGACAGAGAATTTGTCTCCTAGAGACTTGGGTAGGTCAGGTAGGTCCAGGGGATCATGGGATTAGAACAAGAGGATGAAGAGAAGACCAGAACAGGGCATGGCATGACCATTCTGACAGCAGGTTAGCCCTTTAATGAAGTTCTCTTTTATAGTGAAAGTAAAAGGAACCACCTTCCTCAGAAGGCTTTTGTGATGGTTTTGCACATATAAAGGTCTTAGCCTATTCCTAGCATGAGTTAGCCATTATCTCTTAAGGAACAGTGGATGGCAGCCCAGGCACCTTGCCAAGACACCCACATACACTCTCATGGATGCCTGTTTCCAGAAACTCAAAGATCCGAAGCTACCTGGTGCCTCATCCCAGCTAACCCTAAAGCTGATTCTAATTTGGGGGCTACAAGCAGGGCTGGCTCTCTTCCCTGGCTAGATTCAGCATCTCATTGGAATATATCACCTACATTAGGATAAATATTTTTTTAAGGTGCACTTTGCACATTTTTTTTCTCACAATGCCTAACTCATATTGTGCTCATCCGGTACTTTTGCCATGTTAGCTCAATTTCACTTTATCTCCTTGCACTTGACCTCTGCAGTTCAAAACCTAATTCCTCAGCTGCATAACACTGGTGTATGTGTGTTTGGAAAGTGAGGTTCCCTTCAACAGGTCTAAGGGAAAATGTCACCTCAAATTGCAAAAGGGGAGTTTCAAGTGTGCCATTGGCTGAAGCCAGTGACAAATCACCTGTAGGGCACCTGCTGAGCATGGCTGGGGAGAAGCATGAGTCTTAGGTTTTGTAGAATGGCAAATAAAGAAATAATTAGTCATTGTCTCACTGACTTCAACTCTGATTTAATGGTTCCCTCTTCAACTTTGTTTTGTCACCCGATCAACCAAGTCAGTCAAATATTATAATTTCTTTCTAAATATTCCAGCAGCCAGATGGCAGGAACACTACTGGGAAGAGACAAAACTCTCCTAAAGATAACTTTGTGATGCATAGTCACACTAGATGGGACTGGGTTGAGGGGACTCACCCAGAGAAACCCCATGGAATCCATGGTCATAATTATATATGACCCAAACTTATACTTCTAAGTATAAGACCAGCAGCCAACTCTGCGATTTGGAACTGGTGGTTAAGAAAATATATTTCTACCTCTGTAAATTTTGAATTTTAGGCAGAGGTATAAAACCACTAGAAGACACATCAGGACAAATTCTTCAGGATTTCTCCCTAGATGTCATGTTATTATACCTTACTATTCAAATATTTCTATATCACAGTTAATGTATAACATACTTGCTAGAGAACATATTTTCTTCCTTCGGCCAAGTTATTGTTGTAGGTTCTAAAACTTTACCATTAATAAACATGTTTATAAAAATTATAGAAGAAAAGGTTCATTATTCTCTACTGTTAATCTCATTTTGGTGTCTTGGATTGTTTCTAGATTCTTTTATTCATTATTGGTGCACGCGTTGGAGTGACTGCAAAATCACAAACTGTACTATATAGTTTCTGAACAATAAATCTAAAAAAGAGCGTTGCCAGGCTGGGCCAGCTGGCTTGCTCTTGTTCCTAAAACTGTATGTTCTTAGACACACACTCTTCCTCCATCCCTTCTGCTGCACGCTAACTTCGTGTAACACAATGTCACAGTCACAACTGCATGAAAACAGAGGCTTGTGGATGGATTAAAAAAAAAAAGTGGGGGCCAGCAGCTTACATGTCTCTGACCCCTGGGTTGCTAGGCTGCAAAATTACTGTTGATGGCACAAGCGTAATATCTGAAGCCTGTATACCCGTATTGGGGGGGTGGGTGGGAAGGAGGGTGGGTAACTTCCCTGAATAAGTTATTTAACCTTTGTTATTTTTCACATTTTTATCTATAACAAAGGCACCATACTAATACCTCCATTTCAGGAATTGCTGTGAATCATATAAGGTGACCTGTGCGGCAATCTTTGGTAAAGCACTCTACTGTGTAGATGCCTTTCCCTGTTAGTGGTAAACTTCCTTTGCTTCCCTGTTCTCTCCTTTCTATCCTAAGTTGGTTTTTGTGGTTTTCAAATGTATCACCAAAATACATTAGCTGGCAAACGTCAGCAATCTGTGCATTGCCATGGAAAGATTTTTTTGTTTGTTTTTAGCATTAAAGCTTTTGTTCACTTTTTAAAAATTGGGGTAAAACTTACAAAAGTGTACCAGTCTCTAAGGCATAACTTCATAAATTTTCTGTGTACACCTGGGCGACCACTGCTTCAGCCAAGGTGGAAGAACTATTCCAGCACCCAAGAAGCCTCCATCCTACCCTGTCCAGGTCAATACAAGGCCCAGGGGCAGTCTTTCTTCTGACTCATCACTCCATCTAGAGTTTTAAAGAAATGTTTTTAAACAGAAGGTTGGATTCTTAGTGTTAACTATTGATTGCTGACTGAAAGAAACAAACTTTCAGTCCTCCCTCTGAAGTGACACAGGACTCTGGTGAGAAGAACGAACTCTCGAAATGACACAGATAATGCCAAACAAAGGTCCTTTTTTATTTTACAACCAAGGATCAAGTCACACAGAGGCAAAGTCACCGCCCAACTTCCTGCTACAAAGTGACTTTTTTTTTTTTTTTTGCTTCCCCAAATGCAGCGAGTCACAAAAGGGTCCAAAGTGTCAGGTGCTTCTAATCTGTCGCAGGGAGACTACAGCAGAGAGAGCTGACCTCCTCCCCCCGCCCCCCCCCCCCGCCCCGCCCCCAGATCTTTCCAGGGAGTAGCGTACACTGGGTCTTCACACTGTACCCCTTCCCCCGTTTACTGCCCCCTGTTCGTGGCGGGTACACCCACACAGCTGGCACCCCACCTCAGAAGGCACTGTTCCTGAGAACCAGTGCCTGCCCGCCCACGGAGCCAGACTCCCCTGAGATCCCAAACAGCAGGCTGTCTCCTCCTCCAACTCTGTGTACTCTTAGCATCCCGGGGAAGTACGGAGGGGAATGGCCACTGTCCCCTCCATCCCTTCAAAGGTCTTCCACGGCCCCATTGTGGGCAGATGTCAACAGTCTGACTACTATGATCGACCTCAGGCACTGGCAATAAACCTGGGCGAAAAGTCCAGATACCTGTGCTCCAGCCCCAGTGCTGACACGCACGAGGAGTTGGGTGACCTTGGGCAAGTCACTGTAGATGTCGATGTCTAGAGTTGACTTTCTCACCCAGGGGGGAGGGGAGGTGTTGCTGTCCTTATGTCCAAAGTCACCCCCCCCCCTCCGGCTCTGCGATCACCTAGGTGCTCTTTACTTCACCGCAGCCCCCTCCCCCTGCGAGACCCCAGTCTTTTGTTCTGGGGGTGACGCGGGGTAGGGGAGGAGGGCTTCTCAGAGGACCCGGCGGAGAAGGCCTTGGTTTCAGAAGCTGCTCATGGGAGAGTGGGGTCCTGGGAAGTCACCAGGCAACCCCGTGGGGGGCACACGACCGGACCGCGTTCGGCCCAGCCCCCCCACCCCACCCCGGACAGCGTGGCAGGGGGCGGGTGGCCGACGCGCGCGGCGCCCAGGCTGGGGGAGCGGAGCCTGGCGGGGGTCCCCTCGGCACCGATACGCTCCCCTCTCCCCTGCCTGCCCCCAACCCGGGACCTCGCCACCTCGGGACCGGCCAGAGCCGCGGCCCCGACCCCCACCCCATCCCGCGCGCCTTCCCCCTCCAGGCACCGACCTGGACTCGCGCACCGGCTGACAGCCGGGCCTGGACCAGCGCTCCGGCGGTGGTCGTTCCTGCCGCCGCCGCCGCCGCTACCTCTTCCCGGCTCCCGCCTCCGGGCTCCCGGCTCCGGGCTCCGTCCCGCAGCCGCCGTGGCCGGCTCTGCCGGTGCGGGCGGGCGGGCGCGCGGCGCTCGCTGGGGGCCGCGGTGGTGGCGTCCGGCTCGCTGCGCCGCGCTGCGCAGCGCTCGCTCGCTCGCTCGCTCGCGGCCACCCGCTCCCGGGCTGCCGGGACGCGGAGGCGGGGCCGCCCCCACCTGCTCGCAGGCTCGGCCCAGAGCCACCGGCGCGGCGCGCAGGGACGCGGCTGGGCGAGCGGGGTCGCTCTGGCACCGAGAGGCGTGTCCTAGCCGCGCGGCGCCCCGCCCAGGTACGGAGTCCAGGACCCGAGCGCCCCACGCAGGGGCCCAGCCCCACCTCTGTGGGGACACACTACTCGGATTTTATGACACTTTTTTTTCCTTCTGAGTTATCCTCCAGGCAAAAGCAACAGGGACAATCCAGAGAACTGGAGAGCTTTTGGCGCTAAGGAGTTCAATGTTCTAGAAAGGAAAACTAACCCAGACCACGTAGGGGGTGATCAAGGATCTAGCGAGGCACATAGAGGGGGCCTCTGATCCCAACTTGGGGTACAGGACAGAGAAGGCGTCTTGAGGAGTTGATGTCACTGAGGTGAACTAAATAAAGGGTAGGGAGAGAACACAGCCACAATCCTGTGCCTGTAATCCTGCCTACTCAGGAGGCTGAGATCTGAGGGAAGAGGTTCGAAGCCAGCCTGGGCAAGGAAAGTCTGTAAGACTCTTATCTCAAATGACCAGCCAGTGGAGCACCACAAGCCAGACGTGGAGCTGTGGCTCAAGTGGTAGTCTGCTAGCCTTAAGGGGGGAAAAGCTCAGGAAAAGTGCCCTTGCCCTGAGTCCAAGCTCCAAGATGGGGGGCGGGGGAGGAAGGAGAGTAGGAAGGGGGAGAGGATGTCCAGCAAATCCTTGTCCCGTTTCATATTCTGATACTCGGAGGATGCAAGACTACCTGTGAATTGCACCAGGTGCAGTGACTGATGGCTGGGTCAATATCTCCTGTCTCCTACGTTCGGAGCGTTCCTGCTAGCTAAGGATATGATTCTGGACTCTTGATTCAGTCTTTCAATACAGGAGCCAGAGGCTTACAGAGCCTGTGGAGTAGTGACTCAGAGACTCTTAAGTCAAAAGGTATGAAGAGAAGGCCTGGACCCAGTGTAGGAATGCAGGTGAGCCTCAGCCTCAGTGCCAGCAGGGGGATTTCACCCAGGGATGGCGAACTGTCTCCAGGTTCAGATTTTGTGGCAGCTGCTATTTTGAGCATCCTTCAGCTACTTTCTTAATTGCTTCTGTTTATAGCCTGATGGTATGTGTAGGCTTATGTTTACAGCAAGGACTAATTCTACAGTCACACTGCCTTCCACTCCCGCGTTACCAAGAACATGGGCTTTTTCTTTTGATTTAGGTCAAGAAGTTTAAATGAGCAGTGGAGATGGGTGAAAAGATGCTCCCCCATGTCTTCTGCTCCTCCTGTCCTTTGCTCCTTTAGAGCCATGATATATGATCACAGATAGGAAACCCAAAGAACATACTCCAAATAAGTATTATAAAAACAATTTTTCATGAATGACTACTACATTAAAATAAGTCCAAGACCTTACCCAGGGAATATCCTTGGGGCTTCTAATATTCACGTTCATGAACTAGATAATACCTTATTTAAATAGAAATACTTTATTTAATTTCATGAAATAAATAAATTCACTAAATAACTGCTAGTGCTCTGATCGAGAAAGGAAGTGAAGATGCATTGGCAGAGAAGACATTTCCATGGCCTATCACGTTTTCTGCTGGGTCCTGTACATATGAACGTTTGTTTATCTTAGGAGATAGATAGGTGCTGCTGTACCTAAGGAAATTTCTTCCTAAAAATACTTGGTCTAAACCTTTTAAAAGGCAGAAGCTGGTGGCTTATGCCTACAACTAGGTACAGAAAAGGCTGAGATTTGAGGATCATGGTTCAAATCCAGCCAAAGCAAGAAAGTCCATGAGACTCCTATCTTCAATTAACCACTAAAACACCAGAAATGGTACTGTGGTTCAAGTGAGAAAGTGCTATTCTTGAGCAAATGAGCTCAGGGATAGTGTTTAGGCCCTGAGTTCAAGCCCCAAGACCAGCATACATAACATACACACACACACACACACACACACACACACACAATTTTTTTAAGCGTAGTCCAAAGGAATGGGAAAGTGATAAATGAAGAGTCTGAAAAGTGGGGATATTTGGTGCTGAAAGTTCACAAGGCTTTATTTACATTCAGGTGCTTATATCTTATATCCATATATAGCATCTAGTTTCTATGAATATTCATAGAAGATAAATTCATGAGGATTTATTCATACCAGGCTCCATTAGGATGCGTATAACTTCATAAAGGCATTGGTTCTTCCTAATGGGTGATATTTATTCAGTGGCAGATCTTGTGAGTCATGTTCTAAAGAGCCTAGCCACTCTTTCTCCTTCTCAGCAGATGGAATCCAGGGTCATGACAAGTCAAAGACTATCATAAGAATTCCATCCATCTCTTATCTCTACCCAGATTTTCTTTTAGCTAAGAAAGTCATTGACCTGGTTCCTGGCCAATGAGTTGGAGGAAAGGGTTGGCTAGTAGGCTTCTGAAAAATCTTTTTCAGCGTCTGCTCTTCCATATTCCACTCTCTTTATACCTCAAAGGCAAATGAGATGACTAGTGATGTCGCAAACAGATTATGACCATAAGACAATGGATGTGAAGTCTAAATGCCAATATGGCCAGGAAGGGAAAGAAGAATGCTATGTGTATTAGGTGCATAAACCAAAGTTAGCAGCTGGATACTACTAGATTATTTCTTAGATGAGAAAAATAACTAACATTTGTTTAAGCCACTGAGATTGGTTTTCCTAAACTTGCAGCCAAATGTTTTCTAATGGGTGCAGTGACCTAGTAAAGGGCAAACTCTCCCTCTCATTACTCATCAAATGCCTGCAATAGCATACCTTTCACTTATTCTACTTGCATCACCCATACTTGCAAACATATATTTATATCCGCTGTAACTTCTGATGCACTAGACTGGAAGTTGCTATAAAAATCCAAACCATTTTCCTATGTACCTTTACTTCAATTCCTCAAATGTTTATAGTTCAGCTTTTTCTGGCGATAGTGCCCTGGTGGTGCCAACATTGCAAAGATAGATTCACAGCTTTTCCCCCAGGGAGCTAACAGCATAGTAGGTAACACATACTTGTAAACAGAACATTGCAATTCCACTTAATAGTGGAATCTGTTCTGGACAGAGAGCTAAGACCAAAGAAATGGTGGATCCTTTTGTGGAAAGGAGGTGGACAAAAGTGATACCTAAGAGCTTCCATGGTTGGACAGGAATTTCTCCATGCCAGAAACTGAGTTTTAGGTTTAGAAAGTGAACGTGTTCACAGAGACAAAACTGCTCTAATCCTTTCTGAGGATGCACTCCCTTTACTTAATTCCTACTAGATGCCACCTTTTAAGAGTCCCATCAGTCGAGTGTTGGTGGCTCACTCCTCTACTCCTAGCTACTTGGGAGGCTAAGATCTAAGGATCCACAGTTCAAAGCCAGCCTGGGCAGGAAAGTCTGTGAGACTCTTATCTCTGATTAACCACCAGAAACCAGGAAGTGGCACTGTAGCTCAAAGTGGTAGAGTGCTAGCCTTGAGTGAAAAAGCTCAGAGATAGTGCCCAGGCCCTGAGTTCAAGCCTCATGACTGACAAAAAGCAAAAGAACAAAAAACAAAGAGTCCCATCACCTGAATAGTACTACACTGAGGACCAAGCTTATACAAACCACAGCAGCTGGTCCCTCTGCAACATGCTACTTTTTCTCTCCTAAACTATGTATACTGTGACCAAAGATCATCTTGAAGCCCACAGCTAATTGTATTAACTTCCATTATTGGTAGTTCAGGAATTTCACTTTGCTCATATGAACAAAAACCAAGATCCTGAGCGCTATGTGACGATCTTCGCTGACCCACCCTCCAACACAACTTTTTCAGCTCTTACCCTCTATTTCTGTAGTCCAGCCATGTTGATCAATTTTCAAAGCTTTGAACCAGTAACATTCTTCTGTATCATAGGCCTTTGAACGAGTTCTTCCATCCTTGTAGAGAACACCTCATGGATGACCTCCTCTTTATATTTTCTGAACTCAAACTCAGTCATCACTTACTTTGATTTCAAGTCGATCCATTTGTTCTATCATACATTCTTTTTTAAAATTATTAATAAGTTTTTTATTGTGAAAATGCCATACAGAGGGGTAACAATTACATGAGCAAGGTAATGAGTACATTTCTTTGATATCATACATTCTTTGATATCATACATTCTTATAACCTCCCATATCTTTCTTTTTGTAGCATATACTACAGTTGTAATGGTAACATTATGCATTTCATAGTTTGAATAACATCTGTCCTTCAGATTAGACCAGGCTATCCATGACCTTGAAACCTATCTCTTATCATTATAACTTTTTCTCTCACCACTCAGATTTAATATGTGGAAAAGGACAGGGTGGTATAGGAGCTTTGAGCTGTAACTTTTAGCTTTTAATACCAACTTTAGTATTCAACATTTACATAAGTAAAATGCACCCATTTTAAGAGCATAGTTTAATAAATACTGTCAAACGTATACATTGGTGTAACCATAGCCTTTGCCAAGGTATAAACTGTTGCTATTACCCAAGTAAGTTCCTGGTGTCTCTTTGTCATCAGTCCCTGTCTCCAGCCGACAGCCGCCATAGATCTGATACTGTGAGTTACTTTTGTCTTTTCTTTTCTTTTTTGTTTTGCTGGTCATGGGGCCTGAATTCGGGGCCTGGGCGCTGTCCCTCAGCTCTTCAGCTCAAGGCTAGTGCTCTACCACTTGAGCCACAGTGTCACTTCTGGCTTTTTCTGCTTATGTG